AATACATTTAATCCAGATTGGTAGTATCACAGATTGACAGTTAAGACATACTCTGATAATGGCTTTATTAAGTTTATATCAACCTCCTTTCTTTGTATTTGCCACTATAGCACACTGAGGCTACATCCATATTAGTGTTTTCTTTTGAAAACACATCAACTGCTATGGTTACACTTGGCGTCCACACTTGGCTGGAGTTTTAGAGCTTCTCAAACTGAGAGGTAAAGCTGCTGGCTCCCGTTTCAGTCTGGACGGGCAGAAACAGAGATGTCTGGAAACAATCACACTCACAGCCGCTTGTTGATTGGGTCATTTCAGTCATGACGTTGCTTCTGCTGATTCATCAGACTGCTTTCACATGACCTCCTTCCGGAAGAAGCAACAACCAACGTGAGCCTCGGCAGCCAGTGTAGAACACAACATGGAAAATCTATCACAGGCATTGATGACCCGGTTTTCTTTGCTGACAGTTGTTGTAAACTTAAACTCTGCATTTTATTCTCTGCTACAACTGCTTAAATGTGTAGGCACACGCATGCCCAGTGTTTGTGAGCAGTCATGTGATATACATTTTCAGGTGTGTAAGTATGGCCAGGAAATAAAACTGATGCGGAGCAAAACCGCTTGTGGACAGAGATGGTTTTAGTTTGACAAATGCAGTTGTCAAATGAAAACGTAATAGAATAGATGTAGCCTCAAATGCAAACCAGATTGATTGATTATCCTGCAACCAGACCGGTCTTCAAGTTCATGTCTATTCAGACCGATTTTCATCCGTCAGTAGGCTCATTGGGCCAATCACAACCATCTATCAATATAAAGAGGGCTGTTTAATCAGAAATTGCAATAGACTGAATTGATGTTGTTAAATTGAAGATAAAAACATTTTTGCCGTATACCTGACACTAGTTTAACTCAACCACCTGGCACTGCTGGTTGTGTTGCACGTCAAATATTTTGTTGCTATGATTTGTTGGAGGTGTTATTGTATCCAGAGACGTTTGTGTCTATTTATGACATTTGGTAATGCCTCTCAGACATCAAAATAGAATTGTGACAGGGTCATGATTAAAAAACAGAATTTATTTTCTGAATCAGTACAATCCTAAAGAGACAAATCCTGTCTCTGCAAGAGTCATAATCATTTTACAGAAGACAAGTGAGAAGTGTCTTTGTTTTTAAAGGTCTCTTTGGATTCTTAGGCTTCTCAGCATGAGTCATCTCCTATAAAAAACCTATGCCCTGTGTTTAGAGGACCACTTTTTTTTTATCAAAGACTAGATTGGTAATTGTCATAAGAAAATTCTAATTAAACTGTAGGAATTTAGCATAACTGTGAATGTCTTAACTGCTGTGTTAATTATTATAAATACAGTTGCTGTGAATGATATATAGCATCATGCACTTTACTCATGCCATGCAAACTGCAGTAACTAACTGCAAAGATGTTTTACTGTTATTTTGTGGTATTGAACAGTATTAGTACAGTACAGGAGCAGGGAATGCTGTCCTTCATCTCGTCCCTTTTCTTTGAAGGTCAAACACACAGTCCCTGCTAAATGGATTCTATTTTCGTAGTAGAACTCCATGTATCACTGCAAAGACGCTCAGCTGCTTCTGCTGGAAAGAACATGTTGACATATTACCTCTGCAGAGCATGAGGTCTCAATGCTGTTGATTTGACATTTTTATTACTTGTCTGGCTGACAACAATGATAAGAGAATATCAATGCAGCGGAGTTTGCTTATTGTGAGAATAAATT